TTTCCGTGGGGAGGGTCGCTTGCATGCCCGCCCCCTCCCTCCTGCAGGTCCCTTGGTTGGGTGGGGACCTAGACCAGCCGCCCCCGATCACACACCAGATGAGACACCGACAGCCAATGGGCTCCGGCGTTTCTCCGCGCCCGGGCGGCTGCCGGAGACCAGGCCTGTGATTGGAGGAGCGCGCAGCCCTGGTCCCAGGACCTTGGGCGCCAGGGGCGGTGGCTCCGGAAGCGAGTGCGCGGCTTAGTCACTAATGCGTTTGCCGCCCGCCCTAATCCCCGGCTGAAGCCTCGCTAAGCCCTAGCTGCGGGCTCACTCCCGGGCCGGGCAGAGCCGTCACGGGTCAGGGCCCGGTAGGGCGCGCCTCTCTCTCCGCCTGCTCTCGGTGCGCGATTCACCCCTCCCCGCCCAGACCCCCAACCGCAGAGTTCTAGTGGACGCCAACAGTCCCATGTGACAGATGGTAAAACCGAGGTCCCGCGAGAAGGCCCAGGAGAGCTGGATTTCCCTGTGAAAGCCCTGGACTCCACTTTGAACAGCTGAAAAAGACTTTGCCCGAAGACCTGGTGGGGGAAGTGGGGAGTGGAATATTCTGGAAGGTACAAAATAGGTCAGTTAAAAATGCCTATGTTATAAAAATATCTGCTGGAAATAGTCTCTTTGGAACCGTCTTTTTTTTCATTTCCAAGAGGTGTGCGTGTGCTCACCAGAGAGCTGCAGAGAGAGGGAGAGCAAGAAAGCATCCCCACACACAGTGAGGTGTGCTCCTCCATGGTTCCTTCTCCATCTCCCCATCCTGTCGGGATCTGGGGCAAGCATGCACCCTGTGTTTTTTGGTTTTGTGTGTGAGTGTGTGTGTGTGTGTTTTGAGAGGTTTTCACTATAGGTCGTGTGTGCTCACCAGACAGAGAGTGACAGAGAGACAGAAAGCGAGAAATCACCCCCCAGGAGGGATGGTCACGCCGCAATCCCTTCTCCATTCTCCTCTTGGGATCTTGAGCACGCACGCACACGCGCCCGGCGTGAGTTTTAAGCCACCAGGTCTGGGACGCGAACCGCGGTCGACTACGTGGGAGTCCAGCGACATAGCCATTACACTAACTGCTGGTTCCCCACCCTGTGTATTTTTTTCAAGCTACGGCACAGGTATTTAAACCACAGTCGGTCGTGGGGGAACTGACTCCTTTAACACTGGGCTACAGAACTGGCCTGTCTTTTTCATTTTCTTTTTTTTCTTTCACTTTGCAAAATGGAAACTCCTCCTCTACAATGGGCTGGCAATTTGCTTACAATTTTCATTTAATCCTATGACCTAGAGGTTACATTATCCTTGTTTTACAGAGAAGGAAACTATTAACCACAGGAGTAAAGTACTTGCCCAAGGTAGGCAGCCAGAAAGAGGTAGAGCTGAGATTTGAACCCCAGTTTGTTTGTTTGTTTCCCAGCAGAAATGAACTAAATGTCTGTCAGGGGCTTGCTGACTTGAGGTTCTGTAGCTTTGCTGTTATATTTATTATTTTTGAAGTGATCTTTTTGCAAAGGACACAGACAGTTCCCCTGTAGGTTGGTTCCTCATCTTTTCCCAACCACTACACTCAGATTGCACCTTCAAGGTGCTAGGAGAAGGCACCTCTATGATTCCCCATCCTCCTCTGGAGATGTTCATTTGCAGAAAATCTCCCAGGAAATGTGCAAGAGTTCATGCACCAAACAGCTTCTCCAGTTTCCATAAGAAAACCCTTAACCAAGAGTTGGGAGAACTGGGCAGAGTCTTATCCAACTCGATTCCATGGGCCTTTCCTGACAGATACTGTGTTGACACTGGCGATAGAACAATAAATAAGAGACTTCCACGCTCAGTGCCTCTGACTCTCCATCTGCAAAATGAAAGAGCATTTGTCTAAGAGACAGCAGAGATTGCATTCACATCCCTTCTGTCCCTTCTAGCACTCATGGCAGACATAGCAAGTTGATCACAGAGAAAATTTTAAGCCTGCTGAAACACTTGTCGGTCTACTCCCAGCAGTCACTGAGCATCAAGGGTGGAGGTGCCCAAGAAAATGAAACACGCTGTCCTCCCTGGGCTAAGATAGCTCAGTTTTTGCCTAGTTTTGCCATTCAACTCAGTATCCTCCAATTCCCAGGGTCCTCTGTTTCTGCTTCTGAAAAGAATCCTCTGTGATGGATGAGGCTGCAGGGCCAAGCCAGAGAGCCCCAGGACGGAGATTTCCTCTGCCTCTTCCTGATGGTACCCAAGAAGATGACTGAGCAAGCCTCCTAAACAGCTGTTCCTCCCAGGCAGTGCCCCTTGTGATGCTTTCCAGCCATCCCCAAGGAGGCTCCTGCAATCACACAGCAGCCTCCTCCCCACCAGGACCACCCTGACTCAGGCCAAAGTTAGAAAAGGAAAGTAGTAATGGAATGAAGCCAGCAAGACAAGAACCCTGCAAAACTGTGTTTCTGCATCTGCAGTCCCTCAGCTATGACTGCCTTCCCTCCATATCCGCTTGACAACCTGCTCGCTCCTTTAAACCCTATTCAGATGCCATTTCCTCTGGAGAGTCTTTCTTGACCACTTCTTGGTACAATATCTGTTTTGTATTTTTTTTTTTTGAGAGGTTTTTGCTATAGGGCGTGTGCGCTCACCAGATAGACAGAGAGGGACAGAGACAGAAAGGGAGAAATCACCCCCCAGAGGGGATCCACGCTGCAATCCCTTCTCCTCCATCCTCCTTTCGGGATCTTGCGCACACACACACACGCGCCCGGCGTGAGTTTTAAGCCACCAGGTCCGGGACGCGAACCGAGGTCCACTACAATGGAGTCCAGCGACATAGCCATTATGCTAACTGCTGGTCCCACAACATCTGTTCTTTGTGCATACACTCACCATGTCCCATAGCCACTACAGTGACTTGTGTTTGTGTCACTCTCCTTCTCTGGACTCTGAAGTCCTTAAAGGCAGAAACGTTTCTTATCCCACTGGGAACCTCATGGCCCTGGCGCAGAGAGGAAACTCACTAAATATCTGTAGACCTGTTGATCCAATTCAACACTCTAACACCTGAAAAGCTTGAAATACCCAAGCCGATGAGCCAAAG